ATTTTCATGTTTTGTTTTTTTCTTATGTGACCCTGTTAGCTTTTTCAATTATTTATCTACCATGTTTTCAAAGGTTTCTAAATGAGGGCCTTTGCTATGCACAGGATAAAAATGTGATTTAGGTTTGAAATTGTTCTTTGTTTTATCTTGGATTTCTCTCTGATCATAAGAAATTGGATACTTAAGGAAGTGTCTTTTAACTGTTAGGGATCTGATGTATTTTTTCAAATCAATATATAAATTGAAATCATTTGCAAATATCATGCCTTTTTCTAGTAATCAAATCTTTTGATGAAAATTCAATTTTCTACCTCTTTTGGGGGGAGGGTTAATCCCTTCTATTGGGATTGGTGTGTTCCTCCATTCTCATATGTTTTTGAGGTGATTCAGTTGAGAGAGGGGCAAATCGATTGGGATGTGCCCATCTCTCTTCTCTTGGTTTGAAAGAATTGGTGATAGATCTCTCTTTGGGGACTCTCGTTCTCCCAATAAAATTTCTTTCATTGCCATCATTTGATATATTTCTTGTATTTGTTTCCACATTTTCACTAGCTACTTGGGCATATGTGAGGCTTTCCCTATTCCTGTTGGGAGAAGTTTTATCCCAATGTCTGAAGCCTCTAATTGGGGTATAATTGGCCCCTCACTTTTGACCCTGTTTGATATTATTGTTGGGTTTACTTTGGTAATCAAATGTCTTCCTCCCCTTTTTCAGGGGATCTATAGGGTCTATTATTATGGGGAAATTAGGTTTTTAATTTCTTTTTATACAACAATTTTTTGTCTAGTTGAAAATGTATTACGTATTTTATTCTTTGTTCCTTTTATATTTCTTATTATTTATATCGGCAATTTTTTCATCCAAACTTTTAACCTCTTTTGTAATGTTTCCTCTTTTACCATAAACTCCTCATTCTCTCTATTAAACGTATGATTCGTTTCTAGTTCCTCTTATTCTCGTTCCAATCTTTAGATTCTTTGGAGTGTTTCACAATTAACTCCATCAGTTGGAACAAGCATTTATATAGAATTTCATCCCATTTATTGAGCAATTCCTAATTTTCATAACCAAATGCTGGTATTTTGTCTATTCTGAGGCCCCTAGGGATTAAAGGACCACTATAGTGCCAGGAAAACATACTCGTTTTCCTGGCACTATAGTGCCCTGAGGGTGCCCCCACCCTCAGGGACCCCCTCCCGCCCGGCTCTGGAAGGGGGAAAGGGGTTAAAACTTACCTTTTTCCAGCGCTGGGCGGAGAGCTCTCCCTCCTCTCGTTCGCCCGCCCGAAATGCTTACTTGCGACAGGCAAGAGCTGCGCGCGCATTCAGCGGTCTCATAGGAAAGCATTTACAATGCTTTCCTATGGACGCTGGCGTGCTCTCACTGTGAAAATCACAGTGAGAAACATAGCGCTCTAGTGGCTGTCAATGAGACAGCCACTAGAGGAATAAGGGGGAAGGCTTAACCCATTAATAAACATAGCAGTTTCTCTGAAACTGCTATGTTTATTAAAAAATGGGTTAACCCTAGAAGGACCTGGCACCCAGACCACTTCATTAAGCTGAAGTGGTCTGGGTGCGTAGAGTGGTCCTTTAAACCTTCTTTTAAATTGTTCTCTAAAAAAGAGGTTTCCCACCATTTCCTTGTTTCTAGGCTTAATATTTTGTCTTTTTGTTTAAAGTATTCATTAAGCCTATTTAATGGTTGTAGTTGTTCACTTTCCCTATGTAGGGCCTCAAATTTGTGGGTTCTAGCCCTCTGTATTCTCTGAAAATAGCTCATGATTTCAGCCATAGTGATCTATTTTCACACAAAATATGTAGCAGAATAAAATTGGGATACAACAGAGTGCAATATACAACTTCCACCTGATCACCTATGGATAGACAGAAATTAACTTAAAGGACCACTCTAGGCACCCAGACCATTTCAGCTTAATGAAGTGGTCTGGGTGCCAGGTCCAGCTAGGGTTAACCGATTTTTTCATAAACATAGCAGTTTCAGAGAAACTGCTATGTTTATGAATGGGTTAAGCCTTCCCCTATTTCCTCTAGCGGCTGTCTCATTGATTTTCACAGTGAGAGCACGCCAGCGTCCATAGGAAAGCATTATGAATGCTTTCCTATGCGACCGGCTGAATGCGCGCTCAGCTCTTGCCGCGCGCGCGCATTCAGCCGACGGGGAGGAGAAGAGGAGGATCAGAGGAGGAGAGCTCCCCGCCCAGCGCTGGAAAAAGGTAAGTTTTAACCCCTTTCCCCTTCCCAGAGCCGGGCGGGAGGGGGACCCTGAGGGTGGGGGCACCCTCAGGGCACTATAGTGCCAGGAAAACGAGTATGTTTTCCTGGCACTATAGTGGTCCTTTAACTTTTTGGATATTTGCTTCCCTCAAGTTACCTCCCAAAATGGTAACTTTATACAAGATTTTATGAAATGCAAATAGGACAGGGATCCAGCTTGTATCACTAAAACATAAACATAAAATACAACATAGTATAATATTGTTATAGCCTTATTAATTATTATTATTATTATTATTATCATTTATATAGCGCCAACAGATTCCGTAGTGCTTTACAATATTACAATAAATAGGACAATTACAAGAAAACTTACAGGAACAATAGGTTGAAGAGGATCCTGCTCAAACGAGCTTACAGACTATAGGAGGTGGGGTATTAGAAACATTAGGACAAGAAATATCAAGTAGGGGTGAAGCAGAGCTGGAGGAGAGAGCAAAGCACTGTCCCATAGGAGAGAGCAGGAGGTAGAGATTACTCTGGGAGGCCATAAGCTTTCCTGAAGAGATGGGTTTTAAGGCCCTTCTTAAATGATTGAAGACTAGGGGAGAGTCTGATGGCAGTAGGCAAGCTATTCCATAGGAGAGGAGCCACCCGCGAGAGGTCCTGCAAGCGCGATTAATCACCCAACGCTTCAAGGTTACACTCACAGATTGGTTGTAAAAAGTTTACAAATGCCAATAAATTTATCTTTTTCTACATCCAACCATTTGGAGTGTGTGAACTTCCTGGTTTCCAGATTGGAGCTACTACCAACAGCAGGACATCATTGGGGTGGTACCCTGAAGGCTTACTTTTTACAACCAATCTGTGAGTGAAACCTTGAAGTGTTGGAGATTAATAAGGCTATAACAATATTACGCTATGTTGTAGTTTATGTTTATGTTTTAGTGATACATTCTGGATCCCTGTCCTGTTTGCATTTCATAATATCTTGTATATAGTTACCATTTTTTGGAGGTAACTTGAGGGAAGCAAGTATCCAAAAAGTTAAGTTAATTTCTGTCTATCCACGGGTGATCAGGTGGAAGTTGTATATTGCACTCTGATGTATACCACATTGCTGGATGTGTAGTAGTATGATCCTTTAATGTTGTAGGTTTAATTGTTATGTGTGGCTGTGTTGTCTGTGCATATGTGCTGGCACGGTTTGCAGCAAGGTTTTTTTACATTGATTGTCCCCATTTTCTTTATTCTTCAGAGAAAATGTTTTGCAGAATCTCATCTTCTGTTAACATTGGTTGTAGGTCTTTTATGGTTTTTTTAAGTGGTACACGTGTAGATATTTTTTTTCTCTCTGTACTGTAGCAGGCGCGTGCACGGCGTTTTTACAGCAGAGTTGATTAGTTTGGTAATAGTCTTTGGTTTGTAGCCTTTCTGTTTCATAGATTGGGAAAGTACATTTAGATGGGAATTACGGTCATTGGGGTCAGACCATATGTGATGGCACCTAGTTGTTTGGCTGTAGATGATGCCCTGTTAAGTATGGGAGGGGTGGAAGCTGGAGCTGTGAAGGTAATTGCATCTGTCTGTGTGTTTTCTGTAAACCGAGGTGTGGATTGTACCATTGTTACATGTCACAGCGACAAACATGTGTTTGTGTGTCTGTGTATGCTGGATATCGGCCTTCATCCATATTCTGTAACTCTTGGATGGGAAATCATGCATTCTTATTATAAGTAATGGATCTTATCTTATCTGCACTCATGTCGCTTTAACCCCTGTATCACAACTCTACTTTCGGGAGAAAGGGAGGTTCTCCCGAAAGCTGGTTGTTACAAAATTCTGTTAGTCCAATAAAAAAGGAGTTACAAGATACAAACTTTATCTGTTTTTTACATACATTTACATATATATATATATATATATATATATATATATATCTATACACTGAACAAAATTATGATCGCAACACTTTTTGCTTTTGCCCCCATTTTTCATGAGCTGAACTAAAAGAGCTAAGACTTTTTCTATGTACACATTTCTCTCAAATATTGTTCACAAATCTGTCTAAATCTGTGTTGGTGACTTCTCCTTTGCTGAGATAATCCATCCACCTCACACGTGTGGCATATCAAGATGCTGATTAGACAGCATGATTATTGCAAAGGTGTGCCTTAGGCTGGCCACAATAAAAGGCCACTCTAAAAAGTGCAGTTTTACTGTATTGTGGGGAAACCAGGGGGGTTCGGGAGGTCTGAAAACCAGATAGTATCTGGTGCAATCATTATTTGCTTCACGCAGTGCAACACATCTCCTTCACATAGAGTTGATCAGGTTGTTGATTGTGGCTTGTGGAGGGTTGATCCACTCTCAGAGACACATGCACTCACTGACATAAACACACTCACTGACAGACACACACACACTCACTGATAGACACACACCTACTGGCATATACGCACTGCCAGTCACACACATTCAATGACAATCACACGGACTCACTGACAGACACAGACTCTCACTGATTGGACATGCACACATTTACTGACAAAGATACACTCACTGACACACACATTCACTGACAGAGACATACTGACAAACACAGACTCTCACTAATTTCACAGACACTCATAGACAAACACATACAAATTCACTGACAGACACATTCACTGAGGCACACACATTCACATTTTATTGCACAGACTCAAAAATTACTAATATTATTTTATTATTATTGGCCACATAGTCCTTTGGGAGAGCTGGAGTGGATCTGTCCCCGGGGTCCAGTGTGGCTGCTGTGAGGTTGGCAGCTGTGAGAACATCAGGGGAGGCGAGAGAGCTGTAACCCTCCTGCTCTGCTCCCTTGCAGGTCATCTACTGATGCAGGGAGCCGGAATATGACATCATATTCCGGCTCCTGGCATCAATATAGGGCCTGCGAAGGAGCAGAGTAGGAGGATTACTGCTCCCTCTACGCTTCTGATGTGCTCCTAGCCGTCCGCTTCGGGGGTCCATAAAGTGCTTCCTCCATGACAGGAGGAAGCACCGTTTTGAGATAGAAACAGCGCCATTGCTGCCCCACTAGCGACGCCACTCCAAATCAGCCCCATTTACTACGTAAGTGGATAGTTCCTTATTCCAAAATGTATGACTGCGTTCATCTGTATAGAATCTCATGTGGTACTTTCCTGCACAGTAACCCAATTTATTCCCCTCTGAAGAGAAGTTATATCATGCTCAAACTGTATTATCTTACCTAATCTTGTGCCAAAAAGTGCCTCACTTTGATACCTTGTTTTAACCCCTTTCCCAAAGAGCTAGGAAGGTGCAATTTGGAAGTTAAATTCATCTCCCGATCCTCCCTGTGAGTCCCCTTTCCCCAACCAGCTGGAGCTCCCGGTAAAAGACAGCAACAGGGCACCAGCCACATGGAACTATTTTTGGTCAGGACTTTACTAGCGGCCGGTCCAAAGTTTAACCGAGTCAATTCTCCATGGCTCCAAGCACTATTTTCACACAATGGGCACTCATATCCCACCTTGCAGGGATATATAACATGCGGGGGTACATTGTTGTTTTATGCTTGTTTTGGGGAATTTTGTGTTGCGTCTTATGTATCCGGGAGATAACCAGTTTACCGAGGTCCAACTCAATTGTCTCCCAGACACAGACGCCTGGGTGGGCTTGAAACAGAATGAATAAAGACCCCATGCTGGGGGGTCTTTATGTATAAACACTTGTACATTTGCCTGAAAAAAACCAGTGGATCTACCCTTCATCAAATCTTTACTGATGTTTGGGGATGCAAAGGCTTTAACACACTTTAACTCTACAGAACTAGTGGATCAGTGGATTAGTATCTTAAGGGACCACTATAGTGTCAGGAAAACAAACCCGTTTTCCTAACACTATGTCATCCTTGGGGGACCCTCACCCTCACGGTCCCCCTCCCACTGGGCTGAAGAGGTTAAAACCCCTTCAGCCACTTACCTTAATCCAGCGCCGGTGACCTCTCCTCCTCAGAGGAAGTCAGCTCCGGAGTGGAGGGGAATGCGCATGCGCAACAAGAGCATTCTAACAGTCCATAGGAAAGCATTCTCAATGCTTTCCTATTGACGTTCTGCACGCTGGATGCTTATTTCGCATTCAGCGTCGCAGAAGCACCTCAGGAAGACAGCCACTAGAGGTTGGATTAACCCTGCTATGTAAACATAGCAGTTTCTTTGAAACTGCTATGTTTACATGTGAAGGGTTAAAACCTGAGGGACCTGGCACCCAGACCACCATCATTGAGTGTCTGCAGGGTCCATCCTGCCATCATTGGTAACTGTTTGGGAAGCTTTCTTGAGCATACAGTCATGTAAAAAAAATGTAATTTTGCCTGTAGCAGGTTCTGCACATGAATTTACATTTAGTTACTATAAGGGCCACATGATCCATAGGCCTGATTATAATACAAGGTACTCAAGCTTTGAAACAGTTAAACCCGCATTTTATAAACATTAGACATGTGCAATTCCTTTTTGGTCCGAATATGAATTCGGACAAATTTCGGGCAATTCGGAAATTCGGCTACTTCCGAATGTCCAAATAGCCAAAGTGCCGAATTGCCGAGGTCCCGAAATTACTGAATTTCTGAAGCACAATATTGCCTAAGTACTAATATACTTACCCAGTGGAAGAAGAAAAATGTTACATTGAATACAAGTTTAAATAAAAAGTATACAAACATAGCCAGGATTCAGCTGTAAGCATTTGCAACACTTACAACAATCAAGTAACATACATTCATATAAAATGTAAGTTACTTAGCCTGTAAATGGAATGACAGGAATGAATAAGTAGATAACTCCCTAATTCCCACGGTATTAGGGAGTTATCTACTAAAGGGCTGAAAGCTCTGAATTGGTCTTTCAGCCAAATTTTCACCCAGAATATAGATCAGGGCAGAAAATAAAGATAAAAAATAGGTAATATGGGGGGCTTAGGGGTATTTGGGGGCAACTAAGGGGTCAGTTAGATGTCGTGGAGTCGGGAGGGAGGTTAAAAAAAAAAACAACGTAATTCGGCCATGACAGTGCCGCTTTAAGGAAGTGTCTCAAAATTGATTTTGGCATATGTAGAAGTACTAAATCTGCATTAAAAGGTGAGACTTCACCCAAAAACTCAGAAATTGTGTTTTTTACCATAATCCAAAATGGAATTATTTTTGGACAGTTCCACCAAATATGCATTACAGAACCCTATCCTTCCTGACATCTCCAGCATGTAGACAGTACATTTGGGAATATCCTATTAAGTAATTTTGGGGTTTGATATCATGTTGAAAGATGTTCCTAGCTATTATTATATTATTTATATAGCGCCATCAAATTCCGCAGCGCTTTACAATGGGTGGACAAACAGACATGTAGTTGTAACCAGACAAGTTGGACACACAAGAACAGAGGGGTTGAGGGCCCTGCTCAATGAGCTTACATGCTAGAGGGAATGGGGTAAAGTGACACAAAAAGGTAAGGATAGTATTAGACTAGTGATGGTTGCAGAAGAGGAAACAGTTGGGAGCTATTAACAGTTTAATTGATACGCTTTATGAAGAAGTGGGTTTTTAACGATTTTTTGAAGTGGAGACTGGGTGAGCATCTAACGGAGGAGGGAAGCGAGTTCCACAGGAACGGTGCAGCCCTCGAAAAGTCTTGAAGGCAAGAATCAGAGAGGTAGGAGTACGGACAGAAGATAGACGTAAGTCTTCAGCAGATCGTAAGGGCCTAGATGGGACATACTTGTGTATTAGGGAGGATAGATAGGTGGGAGCAGCATTATGTAGAGATTTGAAAGCAAGAACCAGAATTTGAGCCCTATATCTTACAGGAAGCCAATGTAGGGAATGACAGAAGGGTGAGGCGTGGGAGGTGCGGGCAGACAGGAAGATGAGCCTCGTCCCCGCATTCATTATGGACTGTAACGGCGCAAGTTGGGAGCACGTAAGACCACTGAGAAGCGAACTACAGTAGTCAAGGCGAGAAAGGACAGTGGAATGGACCAGCACCTTAGTCGCATCTGGCGTTAAGTAGGGTCGGATGCGCGCAATGTTTTTGAGATGGAAACAACAGGATTTGGCAATAGACTGAACATGAGGCTTGAAGGAGAGGTCGGAGTCAAAGAGAACACCTAGGCAGCGAGTCTGCGTGGTGGAGCTGATGGTAGCACCATTGACTTGGAGGGAGACAGACACAGGAATAACAACACTTGAGGGAGGAAAGACCAGAATTTCAGTTTTGGTCAAGTTGAGTTTAAGGAAGTGGGCAGCCATCCAGTAAGAAACAGCAGAAAGGCAGTCAAGAGGGACGGGGAGAGATCAGGAGAGGACAGGTAGATTTACGTGTCATCTGCATAGAAATGATATTGGAAGCCAAAGGAGCTAATGAGTTTACCAAGGGAGGCAGTATAGATGGAGAACAGTAGGGGACCAAGGACTGAACCTTGGGGGACACCAACAGAGAGGAGTTGGGGAGAAGAAGCAGAGCCAGAGAAGGAAACACTGAAAGAGCGCTGGGAGAGGTAGGAGGAGCACCAGGAGAGAGCAATATCTTGTAGACCGATATTGCGGAGGATGAGAAGAAGCTGTTGATGATCAACAGTGTCAAAAGCCACAGACAGGTCAAGGAGAATTAGGATAGAGTATTGACCACAAGATTTTGCAGCGAGTAGATCATTGGATACTTTGGTCAGTTCCGTTTCCACAGAGTGCTTAGCACGGAAACCAGACTGAAGCGGGTCTAGCTATCCTAGCTATAAGATAAGGCCAGTGATTAAAGTATTTAGAAAAAATTGGGCAGAATGGTTCTTATCTGCCCACACATTCTATGTTTATATGAGTTTATAATTAATTTACTGAAATTTAGAAGAGATCGAGCTTTTATGTTGTCAGATTGAAACTTTTTCCCATTGGGTCTGTGACAAAGTGCCCTTCGCCACTTGGTCCTCAAGAGGCTTGCTTGCCAGCCTCCTCCCCTGCGACTATGGCCCCTGGGAGATTGTACCCTTTCAAACCAGCATTTGGGCTTATGGACTTTTATTGGACTGTGTATGGCCCTTTAAGAACCGTCTGTGGGCACATTGTGACTTTGGTGAACAATGCCCCTTTAAGACTATGGCCCCTGGAAGATATTGCCTGTTAAAGACTATTTTAGCAGATTGGATTTTAAAAGACTCTTGCTGCCCCTTTAAATTGGCACTTCGGATGCAGCCGAAGTGCCTAAGTAGTCGAAGTGGCCGCCATTCGACAAACGAACACATGGTGGCGACCATCTTTGTTCATTCGAACGAGGTCAGCGGTATGTGTAGCCAAATCCATGGAACTGAAATCAGCTACACATTTCAACAAACACCGCTGACCCTTACCTTCTCCTGCACTGAGTTTTCAGGCACAGAGACTACGTCCCGTTCGAAGCTTTGAAAGCACGTTCGAATGGGACTTAGTCATTTTTTTCAGTGTGAAATTGACCAACCGCACAGCCCAAATCTATGGAACTGTTTTGGGCAGGAAAATGTCACAAAGGACTTCCGACTAACTTTTGAACTAATGGATTTGCATGAGTTTTGAGTATGTTCATATTTCAAATATGCTGATTAAGAATATGTGGTGTTTATGAAGATTGGATGTGCGGTTTTAAAGTTACAGTGTATGTGTAAAAACTGTATATTTTCTGCCTGTGATAATTAAGTTAGTCTATTGTGTAGAGATAATTGTATCACAGGCAGAGGGGAGGATTTCTGCTGGGATGAATGGGAGTGGTTTACTTTATTGTATGTGTTGTAATGTTTTTATTGGTTGTTCTGAAAAACCCTGTGGGTGGTCCTATGTAAGGAAAACCTGCATAGAAGGCCCTTTGGTGCCAAGTTAACAGATCTTCTTGACCCTCAACACGTAGTCTTGTCTCGTGATTGGAAGGGACAGCTATATTCACACTGGGGATTACTATGCTCTGCATGGGAGTGGTTTACTTTATTGTATGTGTTGTTATGTTTTTATTGGTTGTTCTGAAAAACCCTGTGGGTGGTCCTATGTAAGGAAAACCTGCATAGAAGGCCCTTTGATGCCAAGTTAACAGATCTTCTTGACCCTCAACACGTAGTCTTGTCTCGTGATTGGAAGGGACAGCTATATTCACACTGGGGATTACTATGCTCTGCATGCTCCCCTGAGCTTTAATCACTTAGCTCTTTTAAGAGCTTGTTCCTGATAAGCTCTCTTGGAGGAGAGGTCTTCCCCACATGGTCATGGAGGGCAGAAGCTAATCCAAGGTGGAGAGAAGACGGGTGAGACTCCAGTTAAGGTATGGCGGTTGTGGAGTCAGCGGTGCTTGTGGTGTCCGGTGCTTGTGGTCTTCAGTGCAGGCTAGGAAGCGTCCATCAATGGAGGGTACTCGGTCGGAGTACGGGGTGTTCCGTTACAGGGTCTGTGGTGATTTCCAGCCTAACAGTTACCAAACTCAAATGTCTGTCAGTTCAGTAAATATTTCTATTATCTCTCTGACAAGTGTTATTTTCAAAGGAAGTTGTTTTTCCAAGAAATCGAATTCCCAGCTCAGTATATAAACCCTAACATTTGCTCCCCCAGGCCATAGGGACTCCATCTTCTCACACGAGCCCTAGTCACCCATCTCTCACTCACTGTCCTCCTGTGTGTAAATGGCACCTTTATTCCAGAACATTCCTCCTCACAGCGGCAGCGCGCGTCGTGACGTCACTGGTTGGCGGCACCTCTATCGTAATCTCAGCGTGACCTCTATCGGCTCGAACGTCTTGCCAGCCACAACATGGCCGATTAGAAAAAAAAAACAAAAAAAAAACGAAGCGTTCTGTCGTCACAGCCTCCCACCCTCCAACTCTATCCCCGCCCACCTTTTTACCGTGCGTGGTCCGGTCAGACGTCAGTTCCTGTCGGAAAGATTCCCAGAGAAGGACGCGAGTACGAGCGGGCAGGTGTGTGTGTGTATCTGCAGTACTGATGCCTCACGACGAATGAATCGGCAGTTTGATTCGCTAGCGTTATTGGTCTCTCTCAGGGTCTGTCCGAGCGGTGAATGCGGGCTCCGCCGAGTAGCTGACGGGGGTTTGAGGTTACATGGAGGGCCTTGCTATGGGGGGTGGGACGGTTGGGACTAACGGTTGCTGTTCCTCGAGCTCGCCCTGACCTCGCGCCACTATTGTCTCGGAGGGAGCTCGCGGTGTCCCCGCGCCGCCATTTCCCTCTACCAGCATCCACCCCCTCCCCCCAGTGACCGGCTCCCAGTGCTGGCAGGTGGCTGCCGGGATTCAGGGGCTGGGGGGGGGGAGTGAAGGGGGGGAACCGTGATCGCAGGGGTTAATGCAGGATAGTTTGATTCATGTGCTTCAGCTTCATGTGGACTACGTTTCCCATGGTGCTCAGCGAGCCGTGAGGGATGAGTAGGCCGCAAGCCAATGGGGCCAGGCCTGGCAGATGATAGCAGATAGATACACGACGCTGAACATAAATAACCCTGTGGGCATGGTGTCCTGCTCTTTGTTTATGGGTTTTTTCTTTATCAATCAGTTTAAACTTTAATTAAAATGTAGTGTAGATTGATGGTATATGGTGGTAATCTTTTTTTAGAGAACCATAAAGCCATGACTTGCAGTTATGTGTTGTGCTGGAAATGAATAGTCCAGTGAGAAGGTTCCTGGTAGATGGATAGCTGTGTGTCTCTGCCTGTTTGTTGCATTAGGCCAGTCGGGTTTTAATTAAAACACTCGGCTAACTAGAGGGAATGTAGCCTGCTCTCACTATCAGTGCCATCTGTACAGTCCTACATGACACACCTCAAAATCTGAATACACTCCACTGTCAGATTAGTTCCTGAAAAGGGAATTATGGGCATATAATTTGCAGATTTTAGACCAAAATAGGCCATCTTAAAATGGATTCATTTTTTTTTTTTTTTTTTAATTAAAAAAAACTCCAAACTGATTGATTTATATATATATATATTTATTTATATATATATATATATATATATATATAAAACTCAGTCAGTTTGGAGATTTTTTAATAAAAAAAAAAAAAATTTAATATATATAGTGTCTGTCCAATTTTCTTTTAGTTAGACTGGGCTATAGAGTAAATAGTGACTTCTTGGGATTCGTAGTTTATAGTTAAATCCCCCTCTCATAATATTGTAAAGCATTACATAATCTGTTGGTGCTATATAAACGGCAATAATACATTCATAAAA